CAGAGAGACAGACAGGCAGCAGACAGACAGACAGGCAGCAGAGAGACAGACAGACAGACAGGCAGCAGAGAGACAGACAGGCAGAGAGACAGACAGGCAGCAGAGAGACAGACAGACAGACAGGCAGCAGAGAGACAGACAGACAGACAGGCAGCAGAGAGACAGACAGGCAGAGAGACAGACAGGCAGCAGAGAGACAGACAGGCAGCAGAGAGACAGACAGGCAGCAGAGAGACAGACAGGCAGAGAGACAGACAGGCAGCAGAGAGACAGACAGACAGACAGGCAGCAGAGAGACAGACAGGCAGCAGAGAGACAGACAGGCAGAGAGACAGACAGGCAGCAGAGAGACAGGCAGGCAGCAGAGAGACAGACAGGCAGCAGAGAGACAGACAGGCAGAGAGACAGACAGGCAGCAGAGAGACAGTCTTTACAGAAGACAAGAGACACGTCAACAGGCCGACAGCTCAGACAGTCTGACAGACAGAAGAGAAGAAGACAAGACACACACAGAGAGACAGGTTTAGAGACGGACAACCAGACAGACAAACACAAGACATTCAACAGATCTGCTGCTTCTCCCCCCCAGGTTGTTGTTATTATTATTATTATTATTATTATTATTATTATTATTCACTAATTAGCTATCTCTTTAACCATCAAACCAATATGTTTCAATTGGGGGTTCTGTTGGAACAGAAACTGGATCCTGGATTAAATTAACTGGATCCTGGATTAAATTAACTGGATCCTGGATTAAATTAACTGGATCCTAGATTAAATAAAATGGACCCTAGATTAAATAAACTCAATCCTAGATTAAATTAACTGGATCCTAGATTAAATAAACTCAATCCTAGATTAAATAAACTGGATCCTAGATTAAATAAACTACATTAAAGTCCAACTTTAAGTTTACAGAATTTTATTTTTTCCTGCTTGTTTTTTTATCTTAATYACTAAAGGAGCAAAAATAATCTAACTTACTTAATTCATATATTTTTTGATCATTAAAACATACCTGGGTAGTAAAGTTACATGACACTACTGGATACATGTTTGTTTATATGTTTACTCTTTTTTAACAAGTTATTTTCATCCACAAGGGGGTGCTGTAGCACCATCAGCACCCCCAGTTCCCACAAACTTGAACTAGTTTTTTTAAACTATTGACTTTTTTGTACATGCGTAAAATCAAGTCCTAGCTATTTCTGGTCAGCATCTAACTTTATTTTATTGTTTTGTTTTTTATACCTGATTTTTAAACACTTTTTATGTAAAAACACATTTTTTAAATAATTTTATTTTTATTTAACATTTTTATTTAACATTTACAGAATAAGCTGAAACAATCATAGATATGAACTCTGTMAAACTAATAACTGGTAAAAGTAAAGTTTTTACAAGGTATTATCAGTTTTAGGGTTTGTTGAAAACTAAAGTTTTTCCCACAAACAAGACAAAAACAGGACAACATGAAGGCCAGGCTGGCGTTCTGTGACACTCAGAGTGTACCTGAGGGGGGAGCCTTTGGGCGTGGCCACTCCGTAGCCTTTAGAGTCCAGGTTTCCTCCCACCTTCATGGTGTCGCAGGGTTTCCTCTGCTCGATGTACTCGTTCATGGAGGACTCCAGCAGGTAGGCGTACTTCCCCTTCGACTTCCTGACTCGCATCACGCCCTCGTTGGTGTTCTTCACGAACACCGACGGCTCGGCGCTGCGCATGTACGACCACATCTTCTCAAACACGGCGATCTTTGAGAGCTGAACGATCGGGGGCGAAAATCAGAGGAAGAACAAGTTACCAACAGGTAACTGAAGTGTTTAGGCAAACTAATAAAAAAGACGACATAAATATTGAAGKTGAGCTCACCTTGAAGAACTCTTTGGTGGAGCCACCATCCAGAGTACCATAGGCGATCTCAGTCTGCTTGGCCAGGTCTTCTGCACTCTCTATGGGAGAAACCATCCTTTCCACAGTGAGGAAGGCTGCCAGGTTGGCTGTGTAGGACGAGATGATGATGAGGGTGAAAAACCACCAAACTCCTCCCACTATTCGACCGGAGAGAGACCTGAGGAGAAGGACGAGGGAGAGAAGAACTGAAGACTGAATCAGTCAGAACCACAGGATCCACGTTTGGTTATTTTAACCAAAATAAACATTTAAACATTTTTTACCAACTAAAACATTTTACTTATTTTGTTTGTTCACATTAATGAATCTTTGGACACCAGAGTCAGTCATGGAGTTCCTCAGGGTTCAGTGCTTGGCCCAGTGTTGTTACGATTATTTATTTCTTTTTTTTTTTTACTAAAATAAACATTTAAAACATTTATAC